TGCCTTCCCCCCTCTCCTTTTTTCCCTACCCTCATCAGTCTTCCTGGCCTTCCTCGGTTTCTTCAGCACATGGGCCAAAATCGCGGCATTCGGCAAAGTCGACGCCCGCCTCACATCCCGCCTTCGATTGGCAGTGTTCCAGAATTGGATGCGGCAGGAAATGGGGTTCTTTGACCGAAAAGAAAATGCTAGCTCTGTTTTGACGTAAAAGCTCAGTTCGATTGCTGAAGTGTCGCATTGCGTCACGGATGTCTGGGGGAAGTGTCGCGCAGTTAGGAATGGTATGTGGGCCGACTTGCAAGTGGAGTGTTGGAGTGGTCACTAAGGTTTTGTTTAGTTAGACTGCGTTTATCGGTGTCTGCTCTTCCTTACCTTTCTCCCTGGTTTTGACGGTTACCCTTCTTCCTCAGGTAAGAACAAAGGAAAATGCAAGGGAATGGGAGGCAGAGAAACATGTTCCTCGGCTCCTGTACTTCTTATCTGTCCGCCTCACAGTTGATCAATCTGTGCTTCATGCGCTGCACCATTCACCATCCGGATTGCTCTTGTTCAGCATTCTCAACCAATCACTACCTATCATCAGGCGCCGTTCATTCGCCGGCTGCTAGCAAGCGAACGCCACAACCCGCTTTCGCAGCCAAGAGCGCCGAAGCCACCGAGCAAGCAGCATCTGTCGCGGGCGAGGCAGTCCGGGACGTAAAGACAATGAAAGCGCTGCAGCGTGAGAAACTTGCAGTTCAACGTTATGACACATTCCTCAGCGAGCCCTTCCGCTAGATGAAACGGTGAATGATTGTTGCAACCTGTTGATATTTGACTAGTACAAGCCTTTGGGTTCTGTGATCGATTAGGAACGCGGTGATTGACTCGTTGGCTGATGCTTTCCAGGTACGGGCTACCCGTGCTGAAACCCGCGTAACCTGAACCTGAAGCTCATTATGCTTTCTGTAGCCTCAGTCAACAACTGCAATGCTTGTCCTATGCATTGGTTCTCTTGCTGGGAAGAGTCTCTATGAACGAGGCGAGATTGACATCTCAAACGTAAGACGCCCATTTGTGCGAAAGATGTTGAAGGTACTTTGCTAACGTCTGTTGACTATAGACGATCACAGCCACCCTAGGCATGATGACAACGATGATCTCCGTGGCAAGCGCCGCGGCTGCAACAACTGGCTACTCGAAAGGACGTTTTGCAGCCAAAATGGTAAGAAGAACGCTTGGATTAAATCCAAGCTCATACGTGCTGAGTGATTGGTTTGCAGACTTTCTTGTTGCACGACCGCAAATCTGACATCGACCCTGACAAGGGTGGGCACATGCCGGGTGAGTTCAAAGCGGGCTTCAACTTTCAGAACTTGTGGTTCCAATACCCGACCTCGACCGAACCTACTTTCCGTGGAGAGTTCAATTTGGAAGGAAAGAAGAATACTTTTCTTGCTCCCTGCGTCCCTGCAAGTCCCTGCAGCTTTGCAGACATGTGAAAACAGCTAGAAGACTGATGCATTTGATCTGCGTTGATTAGGTTGGCCATCTGGTTGCGGCAAGTCGACCATCATTGGTCTTTTGCAAAGATGGTATGGCGCGAGTGGAGGTGATGCCACGATCGACCACATCCCAATCCGAAACTATGCCGTGATGAAAGGGTTGGGCTCCAACATGGCGTTGGTCGGGCAGGTAAGCAAAGCAGTCTCGTCGTCCGTAACATTCTAACTCTGCTTTCCCTCTGCAAACCGGGTCTGACTGCTCTTAGGAAACAGTGCTTTTTGACATGAGCATCACAGAAAACATTGCATGGGTTCCGAAGTGCCAGTTACCAGGGATGAAGTCATTGAAGCGGCGAAGCAAGCAGACGTGCATACGTTTACCAGCGCATTGCCACAAGGTTACGATATCAGAGTCGGTGCCAAGCGATGCCACCTTCCTGGGGGCCGGAAGCAGCGTATCACTATCACACACGTGCGTTGATTAGAAAACCCAAGACCTTACTCCTTGATGAAGGTTAGGAACCCAGAGCCCGCCTTCGTACATGCAGTTGTTATGACTGATCCTGGTCTCCACAATGATAGCTACGAGTGCTCTAGACAGCACCGCAGAAGCCGAGATTCAGAAAGCAATCGATAAAGCCGCAGTCGGACGCACGACTGTTACGATCGCACATAGGTAAGTCCAGAGTCATATACAGTAGCTTTCAGCATGCCATCATAGACTATTCCTTACAATGAAAAATGTGGACCACATTGCTGCGGTGAATGAGGGAAAGATTGTCGAATATGGTACACATTCCGAGCTTAGCACCTTAAATGGCATCTTTGCTGAAATATGTAGACAACAAAACTTCTGATAGAGAACGGAGCGTCTCCAAAGCTCGGAAGCGGTTGCAATCAATACATTGAATTCAGATACAGAACCCAAATTTCAAATTCATATATCTGGTGCAACTGAGATATATCTGTAGTGCAAGTCCCACAACAGGGACGGCATGTGCATTGTATTTACAATACACATTTCTAAGTCCAGCTATATACATAGGACGCCTGAGGAAAATCACGGGTACATTGAGGGCAAGATATGAATTTGAGTGTTCATGTCGTGGGGCGTTCTTGTGGACTAAATACGCTTTATTTCCGCGACCAGTTTTTTTGCAAACCCAGTCAAGCCCTTCTTCTTAGAGTGCGCATCTCGAGAATGAGATGTAGGATCCCCATCGAGCGATTTTGCCGCCGATGGTTTCTGTGGAAAGCTTCCATTCGCGTTGCCAAACACCTCAGCAAGTCGGCTCCCCACAGCCTTCGCGTGCAATTTTTGCTCGGCAGTAGGTGGAACTTGGCTGTTTCTGTGTCGACGTAGCGTACCACCAAGTCGCAAGTTAGAAGGTTTGGAGAGCAGTTTTTGCTCGGTTGATGAATGCGTCGTGGATGAGGGGGTCGCAGATGACGTTGTGAATGAGTTGTTCCCGGGTGCAAGGGTTGTAGATGAGTGGCTTGAAGAGGTACTTTCGATACTGCTTGCAAAAGACCCCAATCGAGCTCTCGGAGTATGTGACGTGGACCTGGGTGGAGGTGTTGGAGTGGGTGATGGGTGCCTGGAGATGCCGGCGTCATTGTCTATGTTTTCGTGAATGCTGGAATATCCGAGACTGGGCGACGCAGATGTATCAGTGCCAGGCTTCTGTTCGGTGATGATAGGCAGATAGGGGTGTCCATTCCATGATGCCAAGTCTCTAGGTGAAAAGACTGGGGGAGGGGGAGGATGCGGACGATGCGATGATGATGATGATGATGATGATGATGATGATGATGGTTTCGAAGGCCCCTCTACTGTGCATTCCAAAACAGACGAAGCCGATGACAAAATGAATGAGTACCAATCCGAGAAACCTCTTCCGTTCTCATCCTCCACTTACCGAATGTGCCGTCTTCAGAACTTGAAGGAACTGGGGTATCAGGCGGTGGGGTCGCGCCAAACGCAGATGAGGGCCTATCTGCTTCTCTACGGCCATTGGCGGTGTACGCGGGAGGGAGGGAGTTCACCGTTGCCCGCCCTGCCCGCCCCTGGAGATCCCAGCGGGTATCCTCATCCTGAACCCTCGGAAGTTGGACCAGCAAGTGAAGCCGTTTCTTTGATTTATCGCTGATTTCCGGAATCCATGTATTCACATCCTGCAAGGACTCTGGAAACGAATCGGGAAGAGCCACAAGCTGAAATATTTTGCTTGGGTCGTGGTGCTCATCCGATTCGAGTAGGCGCTTATCGTCCTCCAGAATGTCTTCATCGATGCGATACAGACTGAAAGCGCCAGCGTTCCAGCTGTTTGCTTCAAATCCAAGTCGGGTTGCCACATGGATTCTGAGTTCGGTAAGGGGAACGTCAGTGTCAACTTTCACGCTGAAGACCCGATACCGAGTTGTCGATGCGACGAGAGCGTGCAGATACACGGTGCTACCCATTGACAGGAGAGCAGGCAACCACGGCGAGTCGGAGGAGCGGAGATTAATTCAAAAAGAATTCCCAACCAACCGCTCTTGTCCCCGGCTAACTCCATCGTTGATATGTGCAGTGTGTGGAAGAACGCGCGACCACGAGAAGTCTTTATCTTTTTCGCAAGTCTCGCAAGGTGACGCCCGTTCATGCAGCCCACCCGCGCGAAGCGCCGAGTTCAGTGTGATAGTAGATACCAGGAACCAAAGAGCAGGACGCCGGCACGCAAACACGACGCATCTACTGTAGCCTAGTAGAGCTACGCAAGAATAAGAGAGGCTTCCGGTGCCAACAAAAGACCATTGGCTGAGTTGTTACCGCAACTTACCTGATTTACAAACCATGAAAGAAATGGGTCTAGTCGTACATGTGCACGTAGGCACAGCCGGATCGGATCACTGGGTATACAAGCCGCGACAACCGCACACCATGGGTTGAGCAACCTGAAGCGTGCCCAGAGAGCCTCGTGCGCGGTTGGCAGTGATATATCCCAAAAAGGCCTTTGGCGCTTAGCTACCTGTCACTTTGCCACATCTGCGACACATGTCTTGAGATGCCCGCTTTTGTAACTGTGTGCACATATATGCGAGACAAACCCTGCCCGTCGTTTTGGTGCAAACATTCGTCAAGTTGCATCCTATGGACATGGTTCGTCCGGCGGAGTTTCCCTGGTTTCGTTCGTCGCACATGGATGGGTTATTCCGCCCCTATGTTGATATGGATTCAAAAGAATGTATACAGATAGCACCCTGGCACCACATCATGTCTATGATACTTTATTCTATCCCTCCCACCTTGCGCCCCATTGTTGAGGCGTGACAATGAGAACACCCGGCAAAAACCGAGCCGCAACCAGCCACACAAGCCACAACGCCACACAACAGACCATCGTGGGCCGCAGTGGCAAAACCTCAACTCAACTAAGACCCACATGGGCACCGAGTCCCCTTTGTATTAAAAATTATGACATGATTGTATTCAAAGTGATTTCACATTTTGGGGTGGAGACAAAAGAGATAATGCGACACGAGCAGGATTTGAACCTGCGCTCCCATAGGGAACTGCCTTTCCGGGTTTTTCGAGGGCAGCGCGTTAACCACTCCGCCATCGTGTCTTGTGCCGACCGGACTCGCCAGATACACTTAAGGAGATAGAGATTAAGGCGGTTTGCAATGTGGGGCTGAGTTCACTATGAGGCCCGTCTTCACTCTCGACGGAAACCCCTCAAGAGCTGATAACGATTGCATGTGCAATATAAAGTGCATGCAAAAGAGAGTTCCTTTGTACTGGCAAACAAAAAAAAGAGTCTATGGAATCTAGCACTACCAAACACGTCTAATACCTGTTTACCAGGCGCAGTCTCATCACTTCCAACTGCCTTTTGCCCTGTGCACTGCGTATGTTCACAGCACCTTGGCACAGCTCGCCGGCTGCCCGCATGTCCGGATGGTTCAGACAATAAGCAAACTCGTCACGGGCCGCAACAGCCTCCGCAACGTTCTCAACAAAAAGTCCGTCAATGCCCAGGGCCATGAAGTATGCCAGCTCGTGCTTGCGGTTCTGCAAGGGAGTCATGGTGGTGTCTTTTGTGCGTGGAAGCTCGTAACTTGAGTAGACTGCGAGATGAAGTTGGCGATTAGTAGAGGTCAAACGAATGTAGGGTCTTCTTGGAATATCTTACAGGTGTACGGGGTTTGTTCCAGACCGCGCTTCTTGATCTCTTCGCTCAGGTCCGCTGGTGCGATGAGTCCTCCATTCTTTTTGATCAGCTTGTCAACTTCGGCTGGCAATGGCGCGCCCAATTCACGTGTCAGAGTCTCTTTGGTGCCGTAGATGTAAACATCCTTCAAAGCGTCCGCATCAGCGAGCTGCTGCTTCCTCAAGTGATTAACAATTTTCTTGTAGCCATACCTTCCACAGACCCAACGAGGTCGCGTACTTTGCAACTTCGTTGAGACCCTTCGGTGTCAACATCTCCGCGCCCTACGGAATGGTCAAATTTGTTTCAACAGCACACCCTCCAAAGTTTAAATGCCATGAGGGAAACCTACGGCATACACCAATTGCACAATGTAGACGTCGCTCCTCTTGCGGATGTATTTCGCCGCTTCAGCCTCAAAAGACTGAACTCCAACAAATCCACGAAGAGGACGAGTGGTGGTTTTCAGTTTTCCACCGCGACGCTGGAGATATCCATTGGCTTCCAGCGCAGCCAGCAGAGCGTCTTCCATGTGGTGCGGATCGCTAGGGTAGTGGGCGTTGTGCCATTCAGGATGTTTGATCTCAGGAATAATACCGATCCCACGGCCCAGTTTCGAAGCATCGGCGTGAATGAGGTCCAGATATTCTTGGAAAGTCGGGATCGTGAAAAGTCCGTCAAAGAATGGAGTTCTCATGCTCGTCTCCTCTATTAACATGAATAAAAGAAGCACGTGAGCTTGCAAAGTAGAAATGCGGCTGCCAACACAAACATGGCCGAGGATTTTCACATCCTAAAACTTACTGGGCCCGCCTCCCACCACCTTTAGCTTGAGGGTCTTGAGCTCGGCCAGGGTGAAGTCATGGATGAACCAATCATTGGTGATGGTAACGTTTCCTCCGCTCCCATTGGGGTCCGAGAACGTGCCGTTGCGCATGCGATCTGCGAACTCGGGGTGTTCCGCGACATCTGAGCTGCTCTTGATCGTCAGCTAGAGTAACATGAGGATGACACTCCAAAGTTCAGATCTCACTAGAGACATTGCAACCGACGGGAAATACGCACATCATGGTATAGGACGAGTTGCCCATCTTTCGTTAGGACCTGAGAGGACAAGTAAGATTCGCTGAATGGTGCATCGAACCAGAAAATGCGCGCTTACAAGATCGGGCTCAATGTAGTCTGCATGCTCCCTGATGGAATTAGAGGCAAATCAAGATGATCACATTAGAGAAGAGTGAAGAATACGCGAGAATAAGAACGCTCAAGAGTCACTCGTACCACACAGCCATATGATACGAGGGCAACGTGTGCTCAGGCAAACTGAAAGCGCTCTCTCCTCTGTGTGCAATGAGTCGGGTCGGCTTTCCATCAATAGTGTTCCATTTCCGTGTTGAAACAGACGTGGCGTCCACGCGAATCTGAGTTGGACGGGCGAGCACTCCGCAGGCCTGCACAAGCAAGACCACGAAGGAGCACACGCCGAGATGCGGGGCTCTGAATGACGACGAAAGTCTGACCATCTTCTCAGTAAATCAGACGCGCGAGGGTGTCGGATGGGTACAAAAAGACCGATGGGGCGAGGGAATCCGGGAGGGAATTTTATGGCATTTATACAAGCAAGGTGTGGCGCAGGGGCGCGTTGCGGCAGCTAGGGAACCTGTTAATCCGCCACGTGCAGGCAGAGCAGCGTCATTTACAGCGTTTTCGGAAAGACGTTGCTTTTACTCATCATGGGTATGTACGACCATGTTGTCCGAACAACCTGATGACTCAGAGCACCAGTGAAAGCTACACCACGATGTTCTGCTCCGGAGGTCATCGACTGTTTCTAAGGCAATTCCTGCTTGGTAATTTTACATTTTGTGGCAAGCCGGCGCTCTTTGGATCCTCGACCAACGGGCATTGGTGTCTATCTGAAGAACGTGAGTATCGGGCTGGTATCTGAGTAGGCTATGAGATCCAACACGTTGCATTGCATATAGCGGGATGATTCGGTCGGAAAAAAACATGATACCGACAGGAGAGAGCCGGACGGACCTCGTCGTTCGGGCAAGCCCCCCATCTGCTTGCACACTTATTCGGACAGAAACTCCAGGTTGACAGCTCATTCACATTGGGTGTTAGGGCTCGTAAGAAGAGCCGGGAAGCATACTTATGAGCAAACATCCTTGCCTCGGCCTACATCAAGGACACGAAAGTGCATATGGCAGTTACACAGTGCTCAACGCAGAAAATCAAGATATTTTGCATTGCAAAAGACTGCTCAGAACTGACACTGTCGTGGGTTGCGAGTCTCCTTCCCGAGCTCTCTGTAGGAACTTGCGACGAAGAGCGCCGTGGCGTGTGTGTGGCTTGGGCTCCCGTGAGGCTGGGAACATCCGTGAAATGGCCAAAGGCTATATGGACATCTTCAACAGCTTTTTCGACACTTTATCAGTTGACTGGCATGCAGCAGCTCTGGAAAGGCTAGCTTGGCTTGAAGCGATGAAAGAGAATCTGTTGTGGCGATATGTCTAAATGTTCATCACCATTTGTCGCAGCATTCAAAATGCTACGCATGCTTTGACATCCGAGATGAGCAGTAGCAGTGCTGGGTAGCGACAGTCCTTCAGCATATGCAATATGTTTATAGAGAAAAAGAGGCAAAAGAATGTGCCTCATATGTTTGAGAAGCAAAAAAAAACGTGTTGAGACCGTGGTTCGAGGTCCATAGTTTCAAAGTTGACCGCCCCGGCGGAAAGTAGTTCGCTCAAGCACCCCAAGATAAATGTTTACGAACAACTGCCGTTTATATAACAGAGAGGAAGGCCGGTCCGCAATGGCGGTGGGTAAAAGATGGATCCAGCCAGCCAGTACCGACAGTTCAGAAAAAAAGGACGGGTGTTCACTTTCAGAGCTTCAGGGACGCGTCCGCGTTGTGTCCGGCTGTCCGGACGCTGGATGTGTCATCGTCGATTTCGTTCTTTCCAATTCGTTCACAATTCTTGTTTTTAGCCTGCGAGCCAAGCCCTGCTTTGTATCTCAAAGGTTCTTGTTCATTCATAAGAGAGTGGGGGCCATACTCTTATTGTACATGGCCGGAATGGAGAAAAGCGAGAGAATTCGAATTGAACCACCAGCCCCGCCCCCACCAGACTCGAACCTCCTCTCGATATGTGCGGCTTTGGGCGGGTTCGAGGTGGTGGAAACATACGTCGCTGGCGTAGGAAACGTCTCGTCGAGGCAGTACGTTATGGGAGATGAGACCTTGGGTATGGCTTCCAGATTGCGTTCCCAGCGTTATTTCTGGTGGTTTGACTTTTGCGCATTTTGCTTATACGTTGTTCTATGCTAGCTTGTTTAAGAGATTTGAAGCGGCTACTCCGGAACGACGAGCAATCGAAAGAGAAAGAAGTTGCACGATCCTTAGGACGCTGGAAGATCTTGCAAACTGATTTGGTGCCGATATTGTTGGCGGCGCACGCTGAAGGGAAAGAGAAGATTGCTCAAGCTGTCGGTTAGTGCGAGGAGGTGACACCACAAAAATCTAGGGAATTATCTCTGATCCCCGAAGCGACTGATCTGCCTCTTCAGTGCAACTCTTTGTGCCTTTGACGTGGCCCATCGACACGAAATCCCACGATGCGGCAGGTCAGCAAGAGATCCAGCGCGGTTACAAGGAGGTGTTCCTGCAGGAAAGCGTGTTGAGTGCTGTACTGGATCTGCTGCTGAAACCCTTGTCGGTGATACACAGGTGGGTTGAACAAGGAAGGGAGAGAATGCCACGTTTCTTATGTCCTCGCGACTGGTTTGTAGGGAGCGGACGGAGAGAGATCATGCATTTATTGGACTCATTCTGACGCTGTTCCGAAATTTGCTGGCAATTCGGGACACGCAAACACATGTCTTGTCAACGGGGGAGAAGTACATTCGGTCGACGTTGCAGGTAAGGGAATCGCCTGTGAGAACTTTAGGTTTCCTTTTACAAGGCGGCTTGGTGGGACCGGCGCCCAGAACTGATCTGCCCATGTTCGTCACCTTCACAGGAACATCTCATAATCAGCATGTCGAAAACTGACATCATTCCACTGCTCCTCTCTTTCGCTGGATCTCTCAGTGAGCGAGAATACAGCGACTGGAACTTGACGATCATGGAGGTGTTCTACTACCTCTTTCTCGAACGAGATCCCGAAGAGATGTTCAGGACAGTCAAACACGGGTCAACTTCCGCGACCCGAGAATTAGGCAAATTGCTATTAGAGGAAGAAGCGCAGCGAAGGAGGGCCGCGCGGATCCCCAGATCCCGCCACTCGCGCTTTGGGGGCACGCTGACATTCAAACTTAGTGACGGGCAGACATTCAATGCACATAACCTCGCCCTAGCTCTAAACAGCCCAGAGGAGACACTTGATCTGGGGAAATCGAATAAGCCG